AAAATAATGTTCTCGCACATTTCTGACCATGTATTCATGTATAAAGTTCTAAAAGTTATGGACAGAAATGAATACATGGATAGAGTTTTTTTTTTTTTTTAACACAATCATGAATAGAGTTAAGTATCGGAAATTAATGTACAATGTAAATCCCTTATCCTTATACCTTATACAAAAATTGTGGACGACATGAAATTGACGTGGAATCACCGTTAATGCTACGCATGTTTTGAAGTGGATACGCATTAATTAAAAATAGTAACTTGTCCCAATAAAATTTCAATGAACTGTCTTTTTTAGGTAATGCAAGATGTGACCTTTTCTACATGGCCTTTACATATTTTTAAACAATTTCTTGACTTTTTTTTTTCATTTTCTTTCTTTTCTCAATATTTTGAAAGCTTTTGACTCTTTTCCTACTTGAGACGATTGTACCGGACGATTGAATCTGGCAACCAAATCTTCTTTTTTGCATTCTGAATCCATGCTCACCTTTACTCTCTATCACAATTCCTTTATCCAGCACATTCGGTAAGCTTTCTTCGTCCAGGCATCGTTTATCAAATCTGAAATATATTTTGCTAAAATTCATTGTTATTTTTTATAATAAACCGTAACATTCTGAACTTTTAAACCATAATCTCTTTTGGTATTTGGGACTAACCGATAATAATAGTATGTATAAAACAACTTTTAAAAATAAAATTGAACTAGTGACTTTGAGCACTCACTTTCAAAACAATGTTCACTTCTATTTTTTCCTTTATTTTAAAGGCAACTCTATTTTATACCTCTAAAATAGAATTATCTCTAAAATAGAGAAAAAATAGAGTAATTTTATTTTTTACTCTATAAATAGAGTAACCAATGCCCACTTCTATTTTTTCTTCTATTTAAAAAATATATATTAGAGCAAAATGAATTATAAAACAGAGTTGTATCTAAAATAGAAAAAAAAAACAGAAATGGACATTGGAGATGGTCTTAAGGCTCTAAACTATCACCTATTTGGTAAAAAAAAAAAACTCTACTTGTTAGAAAAGGGTTCCATATTATGTCTATAAATCAACACAATCATTTGTTATTCCTCATAGGAGAGAGAAAAAAAAAGGGTTATTCGTCGTTTCCAAATAACCAATTTAACGCGAACTCTAACTAAACTAATTAAGAGGAGTGAGAATATATCATAGATGAAATACTAAAATTGACAAAGAAAAAAGGAACAAAAATAATATTTTTCATTGCCAAAAACCATAAATAAAACAAGGGCCAATTTGCTGAATAACCAAAATTCATAATGAAATAAAGAATATAGCACCATGATTCCATAAATTAAGAAAGTAACTAAAAGGCCTTGTGAAATTATCAAAGTGTCTGAAAACTTAGGGAGAATAACGTATAGCGAGAGAAATAGTGTTGGCTGGAGAGAGATATTCATAAGTACCTCTGTCTCTTTCTTCTTTTCAGAAAATGATTTCCCCAAGTAATTTTGTTTGTAACATTAAGGCTTCAATTGGTAACCATGATTTAGGAAAAGAATGAGAAGGAATGTGATATTCCTCTTTGTTCCTCAATAATTTTACCATTTACAAGTAATATTTATTCCACATCATTCCTATACATTCCTCAACAAATGAGGAATAATAGAACAAAAATGTTCCTCTCCAAAATTGATGAGGAACAAAATGGAACAAAAAAGGAACAAATAATAAAATTCGATTTTTATTTTAAAATAAATAAAAAATAATTTTTATCAATAATATTTATATTTTAATATAATCATTATCATATATTCATAATATATTAACAGAAAAAATATTTATGAAAAGAATTTCATGCAGAATTACTCTTAAGACTTTATTTGAAAAAAATATAAATAGTAAAATAAATTTAAAAATGTTTCTATTCTAAAAGAATAATATCCTTTAAATTACTCTTACAATTTTATTTTAAGTGAATATTATCTATTATTATTTAACATGATATATATATTTAGTTCACAAATTTTAGTTTCAAATTAAATATTAAATTATTTAAATATAAAAAATATTTGTATCTTTCATTGAAATTTGATTGATTTACTAATTAATATAATTTTAAAGATAATATTATTGTTTAGTTACCATTTATCCATAATAGTACATTTTTTTCCTTCTCTGCATCTTTTCTTTTTTGTTCCTAAAAAATTGTTTGTTCCATTCCGCATTGTTCCTTTTATTCATTTTCTTTTTGTTCTTTTAATAATTACCAGTTGGAGCCTAACTCAAAGTAATGTTGAATTAAAACTTGTAACAAATAAAAAAAACCTTGAGTAATTACTTATAATCTATACACTAATATTTCAATAATTCTATTTGAAAACAGTAATATACTATGGCAATTAATATTTCGACAAATAAAAAATTTACAATATAATTTTGCTTCCTTTTTTAATATTAATTACTAGTTTTAAAAGAAAAATGAATACAAGAAAGAGTTATGAATTGGTCTATATTTTTATAATTAACTGATGTAATTAAGAGAACAGGAGACGTCAGGGAAGACATATCACTAGAGGAAGATAAATGATATAGACAAAAGAAGCTGACATAGTGACATGGTAGCAAAGGGCAAAATGATATATATTATAGGTTACACAAAATATCATAGCCATAAGCGTTATATGGTTACTTGATAAATTATTAAATTTTTGTTGGTTATTCACTGCAATTTCTCATAAAACAACCAACCATTAGAATACCTCCATTGGGAGGTTTTCATAACATAAAAATGAAAAAAAAAAAAAGGTAAGAGAATGAGTGAGAAATGGTTCTCAAATGAGATATTAATTCTTAAAAAAATTATGAGCCATTTGTATTTCATGGATTAGCTAAAATCTTTTTTTTTTTATATATATAAAATTGAATTTTGCTAAAATATTAATATCTTTAATCAGTATGATTCTTATGAATGGAGATGTTCTTATCGGTTAATTGATCGGTTCAATTGGAGGCGTAGTTTTACGAACAAATCCGAAAGTACGTGTAGTTTTATTGAGATTAAAGTTTTTTTTGGTGGTTTTTTCAGAGATAAAAAATTTGGGGTGGAAAGCTGAGATTGCAACTAGTATAGGGCTGAAAAATCAGCCAACCCTCTGCCCCTATACCCTTAACATTTTTATCAAGGGAATAAATAGGAACCTTTAAAAAAATTTTGTTCGGCCGATTACATTTAGATACTTAAAATCTGATATGTTTACGCAGGCACACTTGACGTTATGTCAAATGTTATAATATAACTAACCATTTTAACGAGCACATATAACTTTGTGATGCGTGTCACGATAATTCCAACATTTATTTTTACGCAATTTAATATTTACCATGGGCTCTCACCATTTTTTTAAGATTAAAATTTTTAAATTTATGAGATGAGAGCTTTTGTTAAATTTTTTTAATTTTGCAAAGTCCAATGGTAGGTTCTCTTTGTGGGGTTCTCAGAAAAAAATTAAATTATTTTTTTAATTATTTTATTTTATAAATCTGAAAAATATTACAATTCATAACATATTAAAGATACAATAATTTCATACATTAGAAAATAAAATTTGAAAAAAAAAACGATTAGTTATTCTGTTGATTGTTGCGAAATTTTCTCCATATATGCTCAACCAAATCACTTTTCAATTGTTGATGCATATTTTGATCACGAAGTTGATTTCGCATGCCCATTATATTTTCGAGATTTGGAGGCATACCTGTAGAATACGATAAATCGACTTGTGAAGTTTGGTTTCCTTCAACTTGTAGGAATTCTGAAACATCAAACTGAGTGTTGTACCCATCTCGTTCGTCTTCGACTATCATATTGTGCAGTATGATACATGCTTTCATAATATTTCCAATTTTTTCCTTATCCCAAACAAGAGCTGGGTTTTTAATAATGTGAAAGCGAGCTTGCAATACTCCAAATGCACGTTCGACATCTTTACGGGCCGCTTCTTGATGTGTAGCAAATAAAGTGTCTTTCCGAGTTTGTGGTAGTCGAATAGATTGGATAAAAGTCGCCCATTTCGGATAAATACCATCTGTGAGATAGTAAGCTAAATGATACTCCCGGCCATTGACTTTGTAATTCACATTCGGAGCTCGACCTTGTAATATATCATCAAAAATTGGTGATCGATCAAGAATATTTATATCGTTTAAGGTACATGGAGGTCCAAAAAATGCGTGCCAAATCCAGAGATCTTGTGATGCGACCGCCTCTAAAACGATGGTTGGTTTTCTAGAGCCACGTGTATACTGGCCTTTCCAAGCGGTGGGGCAATTTTTCCACTCCTAATGCATACAATCGAGACTTCCTATCATCCCGGGAAATCCGCGTATCTTTCCAATATTGAGTAGTCTTCTCAGATCTGTGGCTGTAGGTGCTCTTAGATATTCATCTCCGAAGAAAGAAATAATTCCCTCTGTAAAATTCTCCAAGCAAGACATCGCAGTGCTTTCACCCATACGGAGGTATTCGTCAACCGTATCAGACGCATAACCATAAGCAAGCAAACGAATGGCTGCCGTACATTTTTGTATTGGAGAGTGTCCAAACCTTCATGTAGCATCTCTTCGATGTTGAAAGAAACGGGATTTCACTGGAGAGTCGATCAACAATACGCAAGAACAACGGCTTGTTCATTCGAAAACGGCGGCGAAAAGTTTGAGGTGGAAACATCGCATTATCACTAAAATAATCGTTCCATAAAAGGACGTGCCCTTCTTCGCGTTTTCTGTCAAAATAAGCTTGTTTCCTATTTTTCTTTGCCACCTCTTCGCCATAAGACAATTCGACGAACATATTCTGGAATTGTTGATCAACTGATTAAGAGAAGCTTTCTTCCATGGCGTCGTCGAATGGAGTACGGGATGAAGAGGCCATATTGTTTGGTAGATTTAAGTATTAAACAATATAGATATATATAAAAGCTTTGGTGATTGATTGTTTTGTGGTAAAAGCAAAGAAAAATAAAGGGAAAAATTGTTTTTGTAGTTGAAGTAAAGAACAATAATAGAAAAGCTTGAGTTGTGAGATATCCAAAGACGATGGATATTATTTATAGCAAAGTTAAAACATACAAAGAATAAAATTTGTGGTACAAATTCATTCTAGAATAAAGTTCGTGGTACACAAAGAATAAAGTTTGTGGTACACAAAGAATAAAGTTTGTGGTACAAATTTGCTAGAATAAAGTTCGTGGTACATATTGATCTCTTTGGCATCAGACAACACACCACTTGCACACATTGGTCTCTTTGGCATCTAGCAAAAAAACAAGACAAGTTAAAACATGATACATGACAACAGGACATATCATACATTACAAAGCAATATCATACAAGACATGTTAAAACATGATACATAAAACTAGATAATATCATACAAGACAAGTTAAAACTAGATAATATCATACATAGACTTAAAACTAAAAAGCATCTGATGCTTAGCTTAAAACTTAGGACCAAAGATCCGCAATTAGCTTATTTTTAAGGAACAAGTCAATGTTTGAAAGAGGCTCAATTCTTGAAAGTAGACTTTCAAGCATCTGATGCTTTCTTTGCTTCTCTTTGCGATCCCAATCCTTCTCCTTAAGTTCCCACAAACTCTGAAAATGTTCCACAGACTGGCCTGCTTCTCCTTTACCCGTGGCTGGCTTCTTTCCTTCTTTAACAGTGGATGACTTCTTTCCTTTCGCTTTGGCTGCCTTCACACCAGGAGGTCGACTCATGACTGAATCATCTTCAGCATTGATAGGCTGGGAACTTGCATTACCATCCCCACACTTCCTTCTTTTAGCATTATCATTTCCTCCCCGAGTTGTAGCTTCACACCATTTCTGATCAAACTTTAACTCTCTCCATGCATGATCTAAAGTGAAATTCTTCTTGGTATCATTGTAGTAGATCTCGTGAGCCAGCTTCATAACATCGTCCTCTGACTAACCACTAGTTTTATGAGTTGTTGCTGTCTTATGACAACCCACAAACTTGGTGACACTTTTATTGACCTTTGCCCACCTTTGTTTACATTGAGCATGCTCTCTCTTTGGCATTCCGTCAAGGGAAGGACTAGCAGCAACATATGCTGCAATCCTCTTCCAAAAGGATTGACCTTGTTGGTCATTACCAATCACAGGATCCTTGCTTGTATTAAGCCAAGCACTGACGAGAACAATATCTTCTTTTGCTGTCCATTTCTTTCGTGATATACTTTGCTTTGGTTTGACATCTGATGCATCATTTCCTTCATCTTCACTTCCTTCTTCAGATAGTTGACTACTAAATGCTGGGACTTCAGTTGATCCACTTGCAAACTGAGACATGTCTTCTTGTTGACTTTGCAATAGGTTCATGAAACCCGATGAGTGATAAAATGGATTCATATCAGTGGCGGACCCATTCACATGATAGGGGTGTCACTTGACCCAGGTAAAATAAATATATATGTCGTTTTGTACTAAAATCCTAAAGGAATCAGAAGCAAAGTCGGCAATTTCTTGCTCAATGACACCCCCCATGTGTTGGGTTCAATTCCCCAATATGACCTATTTGCTTAATTTTTTTCTTTTTGACCTAGGTAAAAATCATTTCTGGGTCCGCCACTGATTCATATCATCCATTTTTTAGATAAGAAAGTGAAAGTGATTGTGTTTTGTGTTAGGCTGAAGGTTAAAGGAAGTGAAAGTGATTGTGTTTTGTGTTTTTCAAGTGTGATTGTGTTTTAAGGAAGAAGACTAAAACTTATTGAAATATTAGCAATGAATGCCAAGGTAAAGACACTAATTGTCTTTACCTACAATACTCCAACTAGAAAGCATTTATTTCAAAGAACAAAGAAAGCATTTACAAAAGCAAAAACTGTCCTAATCAAACACAAACCAAGCATTAATCACATTGCACAAATCAGTAATTAAATGAAACAACCACTTTGAACTGTACCTTGATTTAGAGGCTGTTAAATCATGCCTTCTCCACTTGTGAGAAAAGACTCAACCACTTCATTTAACCTCACCAAAACAGAGACAAAGAATTCATATTACAAACACATCATACATTAAACACATCATACATTAAACATCATACTCAGGCATCGTAAATTCAATGGTAAAATGTGCCAATTAATAGCCAGTAGATTTGTTGCAGCTTAGACCAATTCAATTGCATGCATACTCAGTAAAAAGCATAAACTACAGCAGATTAAACAAAAAGTTAAGATTAATGGCCTGATAGGTTTGAGAATTTCACATCAAGCAGTGTATCAAAACCATGATCCCAAAACTAGTAAATTCCTCATGTTTTATCAATTGGAGATCAATAACGAAAAGAAAGAGACAAACCTAAAACTTCAGAAGAGGATCTTTATACACTTGAAATATCACCTTTATAGACTTGCAGTAGCTCTTCTGTGGTTCTGTAATTTTAAAGATATTCACAAGAGTTAAGACAAATCCAAGAGATATATAAGTTTTTTTTTCAGAACATACAATATAGTTTGGTTTTACCTATCAAGTAGACGCATAGTAGAATCCAAGCAACCAGCTAAAATGTAGTTTCCATCATTTGATATCGATATACAATTAACTGGTTGATACATCCCAAGAATAAACTTGCCGATCACCACCACATGAACAAAATTGATCAATATAGGCCTAACGCAATACTTCTTTGATTCATACACTGAAAATAACACAAGAAGATCGATCAGTCTTAAGCAAATTCCTAATTTACGAAACTATGAACCCTAGTTTGTAAAATTCAAAGAACCCTAAAAAGAACATCAAATTCCCCAAATTAAATCATTATAAACTGCATATAAAAGAAGTAATGCTCTTACCAATTACAATTCAAGCTGAATCGATTACTCTCCATCCGTTGAATTTGGGTATCCGATTTGCATATCTCTCTCACTCCCGATCGTGACATGCGGTGGGGCAAATGACGAATCCGGCCTAATCGTCGCCGGCGGCCTCTCTATTCTTCCCTCAATCGTTGCCGGCGGCCTCAATCGTTGCCGGCGGCCTCAATCGTGATCTCAATCGTCGCCGGCTGCTTGCTCAATGCTTTTTGGTTTCGCAAAGAAAGAGAGAGAAACAGGAGAAGAGTCGGGAAATGACAAAAGTCTTTGGCTTCTTTAATTTTTTTTTTACGCGTTTTTTTTTTTTTTATCAAAACAATCGACGGTTGAGATTAAGCCACGTCATCGTCTCTCTTCCTACTCAAAGTTTCTCTCAAGAGAGCTGTTTCTCTTAAAAATTCAGAGTTTTGATTTATTTTTCAGCATTTTTTTCAAGAGAAACTTAGAAGAGAACCCTAAAATACATCCATTGGAGATGCTCTAACAAACTCTGTACCGAAAAACGAAGGGTGAAAAGGTAAAATCACAAACTTATTGTTCTGTTTTGTGGCTAATTGCTAGAGACATATCGAAATCGAACTGCATGCCCATTTTGTTTATCTTTTGTGGACTGGATAATTAGGTCGTTGAAACTAGTTACTAAAATCTGACCATGCCAAGAATTTGGAGCACATTAAATATTAATCAGTCAAAAGTCTAAGTAGTGATTGGAGTATGCCCTAAACAGTGACAAGATTTGCTAATTCACCTAAATAAGCCATGATATGGCGGCGCACTGCATATAGTTTAAATATTGTATTACTTAGAATTTTTTTTGAAGTGTTGATTAAAACTGATCAGCATTGATCTTGTTGAAGTGTTGATCTTCGAATTCTATGATTTACATTAAAAAAAAAAACGAAGGACTATTAGAAGGAAAATGTTGAGGAAATATTGAAGACTTGAGCTCTTTGTGAGTAAAAACAAGTTTATTGAAGACGTGGTGATGGAAGAGATACACATAGGACTGTACTTGTCTGAAACTTCCTTTTTGTTAGAAAGTTGATAAATCTTATGTTTGTTATATAGGACTGTACTGGTCTGAAAGATCCATGTAACAGAACGAACTGGTAGATTAAAAAATTATCACGCATTTGCGAATGATGTACTTGTGAGATATAGTATATTGAAAAAAACAAATGTTAACAAAATATGTGACAATTACCTAATTAATTAACGCATCTCTTCGATCATAGTTCATAAACAATGAGAGCTTTTTAGTTGCGTTTAGAATTGCATTTGCATGTTACTATATAATACTTTCTCTGTTCCTAGATATTTGATGTTCTAGAGTTTTCACATATATTAAGAAATAAATCATTATTTAATTATTTGTCAATTACTGTTTTATATCAAACATTTTTTAATAATTTTGAGCCAATAATAATAGAAAACAGTTAATCATTATGTCTTGAAGTTTAAGATATCTTAATTTCAATCAATAAAAAATAAAACAAAAACCTAAAACACCAATCTTTGTGGAACAAACAAAAAGTCTAAAACATCAAACATCTATAAACAAAGGGAGTACAAATTACTGGAACCTTCTTCAATAAAAGGACATATGAATTTACATTCTACAGAGCGCAAACGAACTAATAAAGCTGGAATCAACTACTACTCTGAAATCATTCAAGTCAGAAACACAAAGTCCACCAATATTCCATGTCTTCCAAATTTCCCAATCGCTTCAGAAATATCAGTATTGACTATTGACTTCAATTAAATCTAGAAATATGTTGTAAAGAATGCAACCATCACAACCACAGAAGATACAAATATACAAGATACAAATATTTGACCACATAATCATCGTGATTTCAGTCCAACGACTCACTTACCCAAGTTAAAAAAAAAAGGTGTAACAGTAGGACCAAAATTAATTGTAGTATTGATATTTTGTCGACAAACACCAAAATGTTTCAACAGCATTAACAGTACAAAAGTGGGAAGACATGACACATCAACTTGTGCCACCTATTGAACAAACTCATACATTATAGGCTGTATTAGTTTTGCATACAAAATGTGTGTGTTTGAAATGCAGTTGCAAATGAACATGTTCTCAAATTAATCTAACAAACCAGACCCCTAAAAGAATATTCTCACAATATTCATTTACACAAATGTAACATGGAATCAAATCTACATAAAAAATGTTAAGTACGAATAATATATATATTAACATATACCCTTTTGTTACACTAATAAGCTAATCATGTACCTCATGGAATAAAAATGTACGAGCAAACCATTTAAATAACAAGAAAAGTAACGACTCATTCTTATAATGCAAATATCATGACCTTGTAACAACTTATACACGCAAAATGAGATCAATATGATCGCATGAATATAATATATTACATATATGAGTATATATACAAAGGAAACTAGGGAATTAAACGCCTCGAGAGACAGAGAAGCAAAAGAAATTAAACGATATAATATATACATGACTCGAGAAATATTAAGGACCAGCCTATTAAAAACTAGGTTACATCGCTAATCTCACTTAACCACGCGTTAACTCATAGATTAAGCTTTTTCGATACTATCCATCTCTTAAAATATTATGAATGATTAAAGGCTAAAGGTCTCTTCCCGCATGCAAGTAGATCGAACCAAAATCTAGAAACAAGAACAAGCCAGCGTTTAGATCGTATCTTCTTACCTTAATTTGGACATGAACAAGAGAGAATCAGACTGTTTTTGTGAGAGAGATTGAGACAAAGAGATCGAGGACAGGCCAAAGAGATCAGCACCGGAATCTGACAGAAAGAGCAGTGAGCACGCAAGAGAAGCAAATGCAATGATATGCAAATTGCCTTTGTGTGCTCACTCTCTTCTGTCAGTTTCTTTGCGTTTCTCTTGTCCCAACTCTTTCACTCACAACCAACCCAACTTCAGAGATCTACAAGATGAAACAAAGAAAACAAGAAACGATGAGAATCATTTAACCTTTGGTGTTAGATCTGAGTTATAATTAGAGAAGACAAAGAACCAAAGAAAAAGAGAGAGATAAAAGACATGAGAAGAGAAGAGATCCATTTGAGAACCTTTGAAAGATCAAATCTAGGGTTTTTGTCTAAATCGAGAAAAAACATAACCAAAAAAAGCAAAAAAAAAAAAAAGATAGAAAAAGAAACCAAGATCTGATGAGAAGAAGATAAGAGAAAACCTTATCTCTCTCTACTTCAAAGAGTCTTCTTACCTTTCTTTATGGCTTTTGTCGCTTTCTTTATCTCTCTTACATGCAAAGGGAACAGATGTCTGGCGAGGCATTGAATTGAACAGAACATTTGAATTTATAGAGAGACCTAAAAATGGCAACCCACAAGACTCTAATGAACTTGAGATTTGAGAGTGAGAATAATGAATGGTCCTTTGATGATGGAGGTTATATAAAGATTAGGAAAGTGTTTGCCTTTTTCTTTCTTTTTTGGCCAACAATTTTGCCTCTAATATTAATATTAATTTGCATTTAATTTCTTCTCTCCTTTAATTTGATTATTAATATTTTCTCGTTAAATGTCTTCTCTTTCCTTTGTTGGCGGAAGACCAACATCAACAAGCCCTAAATAATTGAAAAGTTATGGAAGATATATTAAACAAATAGTAGTACATGATAACACTGAAACGCCAAGCTCTTTTTTTTGTTAATAATTCTTTCTACTGAATGACAATTTTTTTTGAATGACAATTTTATGTTAGAACTTACAAAGAACATACCAAAACTTTTTTTTTGTTTGTTCAAAATAAGGAATTTGTGTGTGAACCGGACAAAAGAAAAACACGATTCTGTGGTAATAAAAAAAGAAAAAAGGTATGTTATATTTGGACCAATTTGAAATATTTTATAATTATAAAACATTAATTTTTCTTAACATGTTTTTTTTTATGTAGATACCTAATTTATCATAGAAGTTAGAGTTTCAGGTTAAGTGTTTATTTTTGTTTGAGATCTTTTTGATAAATTGGAGGCCACGTAATACATAAAATATTTACTCTGTTCCATGTCTATTTACCTAATTAAATACTAATTAAGATTTTCTTAACTGATTTTTTATTAGAATATCTCCAATACTCACCTTTATTTTTTATTTTATTTTAGAGCACCTTTATTTTAGAGGTGATTTTCCTCACATATATGCGTCTAAAATAAAGAAGAAAAATAGAGTGAACCTATTTTTTAACTCTATATATAGAGTAATTCAATACTCATCTCTATTTTTCTCTTCTATTTTAGAGACAACTATATTATTTATTTTTATTTCATACCTAGTAAAAAATAACTCCATGTAAATAATAGAGTTGTCTTCTATAAATACTATTCTTAATTTTGCCTCTATGTATTCTGAAATTTATATTATTCAGTAATAAAATATTTATTTGTCCATAGACGTAGCCAACAGAGAGTATTAGTGAACCACGCTAAATCAGTCATACTTTTTACATTTATGTTATGTTGCTTACATCCGTCATAACATCTATGTTACACACTCTTTCTTTTTTTTTTTTTTCATTTGGTAGAATTTTTATAAAAGAGAACCAAGTTACAAAATCGGCGATTAAAAACATAATCCTGAAAACTAAGCCGGCGGAAACAACACATCCCCGGAAACTAAGCCGACGGATAACAAGATATCCTCGGAAACTAAGCCCAAAGAGATGGGATTCAAACAACAACACTACAAATGAAAAACAATGCCGAAACAAAGAAGGCAACGAAGCACAAAGAACATAAAATACAACTCTAACTCAGAATCTAGCACATCACATCTTGCCTACCATCAAACCAACAAAGAGAAAAGCTTGAAGTAGTGGCTAACCGACGGAGACGAGAAAATCCATGACACCGGACAGCGGCTCCTCCTATACCAATGAAGACTACCTCACAAATTATAGAGAACTAAAGCATCTTTACCAGCAAGTAGAGAACAAGAACCCAAACACAACTCCTGGAAGCGGCGAATTTGAGGCAAGCGAAATAACCATGAAATGATTACGCCAAGAAAGATACCAATGCAATAGAGAGACCTCAATCAGGTCTTGACCGTAGAGACAAGGACCGAGCCCAAACAATCCGCATCAAACCGAAAACTGGAGACGGCAAGAACGCGAACCGGATCGATAAACAAGCATACTCAAAAAGGCAGAGAATAGGCACGAGATCAAGAAACTAGACCACAAAAGACTGAATATAGAGCCAATTCCATGACAGCACCCAAGAAACCAACGATGAGTGCACAAAGACTAAGACCCAACAGAGAATTGAAGAGAACAAGGCTAACGAAGGCACAAAGTGGCAAAAACAGACCACAAACCCTAATCCACCAGATACCGTCGCCACCACCAACACGGGAAGATGGCCAGACCATGAGTGAATCAAAACCGCGGCCAACACCACTACAAAACGCCTTCGCCGGAGCCCAAATCTGAACCGACAAAGGAGAGAGACAGAAACTCCGACGCGAACCACTACCCCTCATACTGCAAGCTGCTGGTCCTCACCGCAAGACATGACCGAGAACGGCCGCTCCAACCCCACAAACGACCAACGGCTCCGACGAAACGAAACCTTGACCAAAAGTCGAATCAGATCTGAGAACCCAAAGGAAATTTTCACCTCGCCAACAACTCCCAAGGTCCCCACAAACTAAGAGAACTAAGCTAGAGACGATATCAAAAGGAAAACGGACAGGAGGACCGACGTCGGCGCTATCTAAACCGCCACGCGCCGGTCACGCGCTTGAAACTTGATGTTTGGTCTCTCGCTGTTATTGGTTTTGGTTTTTTTAGATGCAGCTTTGTTTTTGATGTTACACACTCTTTCTATAAATTTTATTTTTATTTACTTGTTCAACTTTTTCTATTTGGCTACAGTATAAAAAATATATATTTATAGCCTCAACAACTACAAGTATCTTATAAATCTTATTTCTTTCTACCATAGTCTCTCTAAAGTATTACTTTCTACCATAGTTTCTCTAAAGTATTTTACAATAACATCATGATACTTATTTTCTAAAAATCAATAAGAAAATTAAAGAAGTAATAACAACCTTCTAAATATATCTAGAGAAACTATAGAACTTGATATTAGTTTGGGTTTGGTCTACTTAATAATAATGTCATCATGGATGATCAAAAATCGAATTTAACTTCAATATTTGCTTGCACCTTCTCCAATAATGTAGAAGATTATTCACTCTCTAGAATGACTAAAGAAATAGAACATCGAATATTATGTCTATATACATTGACATTTTACTCACATATTTTTGGAATCTTGATCCCCTATATGAAAGAGTTCTATCGACTCAATCTAAGATTCTAAATCTAAATTATTTAAAATAGGAATTAAGTTATCTAGATAAAGCGATGGGTAACGAATAGATTCAATGGAATATGTCTCGAATACACCAAAAGAATAACAAAAAAAAAAAACAAAGATAAAGTAGTGAAGCTTTATCGAGATAAAGAATAAGAGAAAATTGTTGGCATGCATTGGACGGGGCATATTTAAGGTGACGTGGTTTCACTATAAACCAGAGAGTCGCATTAATCAGTCTGACCGTTGATTTGAGACATTAATTCCCTGCCGTTGGATCTGTCACTTTTACAAGACACATTTCCTTGTTTTCTCTAACTTTTTTAGTGGCCATGACATATGTATAATAAGTGTTTTGATTGTTTTGGTTTTCTATATATAATATTTTTATTTATATACTTTTTCTGTTTATATTACATGATGTTTTAATTATTTAAGTTAAATATTTATAGTTTCAAGAATTATTTAATTTTTGATTAAAACAAAAAAAAACTAACAAAACAAAATTCCTCAAGAATTCTACTAATTCCTCAACAATTCCTCAAGTCTTCAAATGATGTAACATAATTTTTTCCACCAAAATTCCTCAACAATTCCTCAAAACTAATGTTACCATTTACACCCTTAAACCTTTTTTATTGTTTTCAAATATATAATGTTTTGAATTTATTTTATATTATAGGTTGTTTTAAATATTTTATATTGTTTTAGTATATTTTATTATTGATCAAATTCATTTAATTAGATATTAAATTGTGTTTTAATGTAAAAATGCAAAACAAAAGAAATTAATTAGTTTTTTAAACTTGTGCTTTTAGGTAAAACATCATATATTTCTAAATAGAGGAAGTATTTCTTTTTTTTCTTTAACATTTTTTGGTTAGGCAATGTCCACTCCATAACCGAATCTTTAATACGTGGAATAACATGATTATTTGGAATCAAACTCCGATAAAAAGAATAAACCCGTAAAAGTACATATTCAATCACTTGAGTAAAAACATTTCTTTTTTTATTTCTGTAAATTATGTGTATATTCAACATAAATCATTAAAATATCGAAAAGAAATGAATCTCAAGGAAAAATATAACTAAGCATTCTTTATTTTTAATTCTTCTATAGTATAATTTCAAGACATATTTTTTTAGTTCAATTAACTAAAACTAGATTTTTTGATGTTAGTTTTGTAAAAAAAAAAAAAAGAAATTACAGATTAACAGTTTGAGAGGTTTTATCATATTATATAAATGAATGGTTGACTAAAAAAACGTTTGCTCTGAGCCTCTGACAAAAGGCGGAAGTGGAGAAGAAAGCAAAGGTATTAAGGTAAGTTCTTCCTCAGAAAACAAATGGTTAACCACGGGCCGGCTCAGGGTGAGTGGCGGTCTAGTCTAGTCCATGGCTGAAGAGATTATACCAAAGCAGGCCGGGCTTGAAATTAGTAAAACAAATGTTATAAATAACTCCTCTTAACAGAAGGGGTTCAAAATGAAAAAACGAAACAACAATCACTTAGAGAGATAAACTATAAGCTAAGGCATCTCCTAGAAGCTGGATTCAGTCTTGTACTGAGACTAAAACTGAGTGAGTTGTTGGATTTTGCGAGCTTGGAAAAATTTGCACCGCCCTTTACCACTTGATTCGATTTCTTCGCTCCTTTTATCGCATGTTTTGAACCCAAAACTGCTTAGTTTCGCTTGTCGTTTGCTGCTACTTCCATTACCACTCTCTTCGGTTTCATCTGCTTCCCTGCCCAAGTGAACATAACATCAAATTCAACAAGACACATTTGCAACAGATTGAGATAAATGTAGTATTTATATGGATCTATGGAGGCTTGATCATAGCTGATTAATAGATTAGAGTATAATAGCAATAAATAAATAAAACTAACCATGCAACTTCAACCTCGCCCTTCAAATGTGTAGTGCAAGTTCCCCAACTGAAGCGAACCAGTGATGGGAATCCAAACACAGAATGTTTGTGTTGCACTAACCACGCCTTTGTCTCAGGATCTAAATTGCATTACAAACATATTAGTGTGTACGCTAAAAACAAAAACGGTTTTGAGGAAAAAATATACCTCCAGGATATCCAGAACCAAAGTTTCTATTTATATCTTCTCCGGTTTCCTCTACCAACCATTCTCTCAACGCTCTGTCTCTTGTCACCTGAGCAGGTAATTATTTTTAGTGACTTTAGCTAGTGAAAAGCTTTAAGATAGATAATGAAAATCCATAACATATTTACCTTAGCCACAATACTTGCCCCACTAACAATAGGAAACAGACTGTCAGCTTTCTTTGAAACGACAAACTTGATCGAAGGAAACCTCTCAGACAATTTTATCCTGTACTTCTCGGGATCTCCCACGGTATCCAGATAAGCCTGCAAATGCAATTTTGGGTTATAAACCTTGTGGATATAACCTTATTTCTCAAAAGATGATGCATATGTTTCAATCAGCTAATCACCTCTGTTAGAAGAACTCCCATGTCTAGTACCCTTTTGATTAGCCCCATTGCAGAGTTATGTGAAATCTCATTTAAATTAGTCTTGTTTCTGTGGAAAACAAACCAAAGCTTAAGAACCATTTGAGCATTCCAATCTTTCAGCTTTAAAAACATTATAACTTTACTAACTTTGCGAGCATCTTAGCTGAGAGTTCTCTGGGATCAATGACATCAACAGCCCATCCAAGTGACTTGTCAAGCTTTAAGTTTTCATATAACTCTTCTCTTTTCTCCTCTTTTAGAGTCTTTGAATCTGCAAGCATAGCAGCAAAAGGCTTCAGGGGAACAACAAAAAAGGTAAAAGACTATGAACGCAATCAAAAGTTCCATGCTTTACTTATGCCCTCCCAAATTGGACCGTCGCAGTACCATGCTAACACTCTCAATATATACAGCAAAAGGCTTAAGGGGAACAAAAAGATTCAAGGATTATAAATGTGATCAAAAGTCTCATACTTTTTTACTTATGCCCTCTCAAACTGAAACGTCGCAGGGCCATATGATTACACTAACAACTGAAGGTTAAACAATGTGGTTATACAATGTACACACACAAACGAATCTATTCAATTCTCAAATCTCAAAACACACATAACAATTCTTCAACATAAAGGAATGAAAAGTGAGTTTTTTTACCTGCAAAATGGAGAGAAGCAAGAGAAGACTGATAGGAAATGGGACAATACATACATCCATAAACCATAGGACCTGTTTAACCAACAAAATTGATCAGATTTTTCTTCTCATTCACCAAAAGTTATTAGATACAAGAATAAGAAGAAGAAGAAGAAGAAGAAGAACCTAGAACAGGACCCCTCCCGGCTTCGTCAATACCCATTAGACAAGGCTGAGAAGACCATTCTGGTGTCAAACAATCAGATTCCATTCCTTATTGAAAACCTTTCAAGAAACAGATGTTAATGGTTTGTTTTTAGGGTTTTAGTCTCAATTCTAACCTAAATTGGTCACATTGAGTTCTGGGTAGGTTTCAAAAACTAAAAGCATTGGACTTTTCTATTGAACATGAAACACTACTCCAGAAAAATTCGAACTTTACATGAAACAAGTGAGGAAATAGTGAATCGCTTGAGCAGGTTTTGGGTTACAAGAATCTAAAATTTTCTGGTTATTGTGTTAGATGATAGGAGAAGGAAACTCACCTGATATTAAGAGAGTTGAGCGAATCGGAGAAGATATCACCGGCGAACAATATCGACGGTAGCTTTACGGTTAATACTCTTTCTCTAATTACACTGCTTGCCGTTTTGTCGTAGCAATGTTGGTAAAATGTGTCGTAGTAACTTATTAATAAGTTTCAATTTTTTTAAGAAAATTCACTTATTACAAACAAATCTGAAAAATATTTAAATTGTTTTAAATAAGTATTTTATTTTATAGTGGATATAAATATAAATAATAAAAAAAATTAAAATTTGCAGAAATATTGGAATACTAAATAATAAAGATAGACGATAGATATATTTTTTTTAATTTTAACAATGTCCTGTTATGTTTTTAGTACCCTTTGATTTTGTGTTGATATTTTGTTAACATTTTTGTCTCTGATTATTTTAATTAATCAAAATCCAAAATTAAAAGAAAAATAAAAAATAAAAACAAGTGGACCCTACCATGTTCTCATCTTCATTGGCTTATCTTCTACAGAGCTCCCAAACTCGAGATCCATCGACACAACCAACATTGAAGGTCCAACACTGAGGTGATTTGTCCGATTTGTTGTCTAATTTATTCCAACTATTAAATATAAGTAGTTTCAAACTCGTTTATGGTATAGAAATAAATTGTTATGTATTCAATTAGGGATTTTTGTAGAGATTTTTGTCTAGAGTTCTAAGATTTAACATGAATGCTTATTCGATTCAGTCTCATTTGTACTTGATATGGTCGAATTCTATTGAGAATGCATGTATTGTAACACTTCAATCGAACCAATGCTAGTGATTTTGTGGATGTATTACAATTAGTAGTACTTGGTACAACTGAGACGGGTACAACCAGTAGTACTTGGTATAACTTATACGGTACAATTGGATACAAGTTGGATTATTTTCTGGTAATACTTGGTACAACTTGGTACTAGTTGGACGATTCGTATGTGGATTTTTTTTATTCTATTTCAGGCACAATGAATAATAATCGTCGCAAAATTATAGTTTTTGATTATGGGGATACTATGTTAGAAGGGGAAATGAACCAAGATGGAATTCAAAAGATGGAAACATTTATTGAGGAGGTTACTTATTTTGCATTGGTAAACAAAATATGCAGAAAGGCAAAGGATGATGAAGCTACCATTGAGCTGAAACTTAGTTACGTTCTAGAATTAGTGGATCCAAAATGATCAATATATATATCTGATGATGCTAATGTGTGTTATTTGAAAATGAATGAAGATCAATTCCAAGTTTTGCATGTGAACGTAAATGATGAAAATCAAGGGGATGAGCAATATCAAGGGCATGAGAATTCTATTGATGATGATGAATGTGACCATACGTCAAAAATTTGAAAGCAAGCAAACAGTTAAAGATTTAGTTGAAAAAACTGCACAAAAGAACTGTTGGTAAGCCCAAATGGCATGACCATGAACTTTTGAGTTTGTTATACTGTAGTCGGATATGACGTTGTTTGATAGACACTCCAACTCCTAAAAGTTTCATCCTTTTGGTTCAGTCAAGGGTTGGTGTTAAAGTGTCATACTCAATGGCAAATAGAGGAAATGCTAGCTGCTTATGATCTACAAGTTAGAATATTTGATAAGAAATATACAAATAATTTATCAATGATTTGTTTAAAATTTCTTATTAATAAAATATTTATTTGTTGTTTTCAAATAAAAATTATCTAAAATATTTTAAATAATGTTTAGCTAATAGCTGTTTTATAACTTTTAAAATAATAGTTATTATTAATTATTTTTTTTAAAAAATTGTCAATTTAGATTTTATGATATACTTGGTTTCTCATGAAACACTTTATACTTTATGGGTCACTTTGTTAATGTAAACCACATAACATTACAAAGCTAAGATAATAATGTTTTAACGCTTATTATTGCATGTATACGTAGTTAATGTACCAAAATTAACTTCAGTCATGTGTCCAACTAAAAATATTTAGTTTTAGTTAGTGTATAACTAATTTGAAACAAATCATCCCAAAGGTACAACTTGCATAAACGGGTACAACTTAAGATTTAGGAACAACTAGTGCAATATTGCGGCTACACGTGTGCACACGTGTGCATTTTGGCGGCTCCACGTTTGCAGTTTGACGGCCCATGTGAATCACATATTTTATTTATGAAAATTTCAAATTTTAAAAAAATTTCACTCCCCCCCTCTTTTTTTTAGGAGATGCGCCCATTATCCTTTAAAACTTTAAACCCAAACCCAAACTCAAACCCAAACCTTTCTTCTTTCCTAATTCCGCTGCCTCCTCTAGGATTTGCGATTTCTGTGTTTTTTCTTCTCTATTTCTGGAAATTTGGAGAATGAGCAGCAACTCTGAAAAGTGTCATTGTGAGTCTCCAATCAAGTTGTCTCCCTTAACTTTGGCTAAATTTTTGTCATTGATGTTGTATCTAGTTTGACATTCCGATCAAGTTGTACTTAAACTAAAATCATGTGTACATAGTTAGATTGACTCATAAACTCAACATAAAATGACTACTCAACATAAAACATGTTCCATAGAATGACTCATAAACACAACATAAAACACGTTCCATAGAAAACTAAGCAATAGAAAGAGTTCATTTGACATTCCGAGCAAGTTGTACTTAAACAAAAACCATGTGTACCTAGTTAGACAAACCACAATGACTCATAAACATAACAAAAAACCAACCAACTAACCAACAACACAAAGAGTTCACATATGACTCATTAACAACCTTAAGCTTCTTCTGCCTTATTATTATAGGACTCTGAATGACCATAGTAGATCCCATTCGAAATGAACCAGCATTCTTTTTTCTTCTCTAAACACGTCGTGCGAAGAAAGAGCATCCACATACCCATCAACTTATGATTTGAGTCTTTAGGCATATGGAAGAAATACTTGAACTGTGGGTGCAATAGGAACCAATCCAACTCCTCGGGTAGGAGATGACCTCTTAATAGGCTCACTGCCTTTGCAATATAACACTTCTTAGAAATCTTACATGGTTTTGTATACTCGGCGGGACCAAAGTACATATTCAGAGGTTGCATAACTTGGTTTCCTCCTCGGATTCCTGTAAGATAGATCAACATACACTAAGTCATACTAATTTTTACTTTTTGATTCTGGAATTTTAGATCAAGATACACTAATTCATACTAAGTTGTACTTTTTTATTCAGAAATTTTAAGTTGTACTTTCTGATTTACGAATTTTAAAACAAGTTACACGAATTCATACTTAGTTGTACTTTCCGATTTATGAATTTTAGATCAATAAACTAGACATACCGTTCCCTAGGATTAGATTCATTTTCTTGGGATTCATCTCCACGAGTGTCTTCTTCTTCTACGATCTCATCTTCTTCTACGATCTCATATGCTGGATTTGGTTCTTCACGATAGCTTGGGTTCTTTGTACCCATGCATCATTATCCACGGTTGTATTCTCGAAGAAGAAGAGAACGAAATGGGGAAAGAGGAATCGATTCGCGATTTCTCCTAAGTGTTTAGAGTTTTAAAATTTTTTAAGGACACATGATGGAGAAAAGAGAGGAGGATCCGAAATTAAATGGGTTTCTGAGTTTGGGTGGGGATTTTGGTGGTTTGGTCTGTAAATTACAAGTTTTTTTAAGGTCATGATTGTCTTTAACCAGAAAATCTACTTAAAAAAGAACAAATAAATTGATAATTTCGGAAAAGGCATTTTAAGATTAGTTTTGTGGTCAAAGGGTTAGAGAGGTGATTCTCCTTGAAGTAAGGATAAAATCTTGTGCTTTTACTTATTTTTGCGGGCACTGTATTTGTAGGCTTGGCCATCAATGTTGGGGCAAGCATGTTTAAAGCTCTAAGAACCTCATGAAAATTAATACTTGTTGAGAATTTTGATCTTTTGAAAGTGTCTATTGTGTGACAATATCTTGAATTTTGGCCCACTGTCATCAAAAAAGTAGCAACCATCTCTTCGACACACACATGTGGTGTACCTTTCAAACATGTCTTCATTTGGAGAAGATAACATAAATCCGCAAAGACCTCTGGATTCATACGATATAGTTGCCGAAAATGAATAGGATCATCTTTCAAAGCCTTTTGTATATAAGCGTCTCCCTTTTTCGTGATTTGTCGTCGCATCGGACGTGGGACTTGACTTTTATAAGCATCAACGAATCCAACCACCATCAATAACATAATATCTACATCTGATTCATCTTCTTCATAAAGATTTTGTTCCATTATATAAAAGCCTAGAATAAAAATATAATAATTGTAAGATCAAATGTGATAAAAATGAATTTGTTCTCAATCAAAGTAACTAGCCATGACTATAATGATGAAGAGAGATAGACTTTACCGTGAAAGGGAGAAAAAAGAGGAAGGAGAGAAGAAAGTCAAAACGAGAAAGTAGACGTGAAAGGAAAAAAAAGGGTTTTTGGTTATTCTCATAAATGAGATTTTATAATTACAAAAATATGATTGTGAAAATCTTGAGTAGAAGGTAGGATTTTGATTACTATAATTTACACATGAAATCAGTTTCAGATTTCTTCATATCTTTTCAAATCAAAACATTTGTGAAAATCTGTCAAACAACCAATAACACTAGATTTCAAATATGATAACCAATAACACTAGATTTCAAACTCTTTTAATATAGATATTAGAAATATGAGAACCAATAACACTTGATTTTAAACTCTTTTAATGAAGATATTGTAAATATAAGAACCAATAACACTTGATTTGAATAAAGTATTTACAATCAGCTAGTGATTGAATAACATTAGATTTGAGTTAAAGTTAGACTCTATTAAAATCCACTAACCAATAACACCCCCTAAAAGTGTTATATATATGATACATAATTAATGTAAGTGAAACCATTCAAATATAACTATTAAACACAATTTTGATGAAGAAGTGGAAGGAACCCTGCTTTCCAAACGAAATCCTTACATGCAACAGATGAAATATGTTAAGTCCTCTCTTCATATACTCGTAAAAGACTAATATCTTATAGATGAAACTCCCAAATGCTTTCCGCATCACTCTGATTAAACGAACACACTGATATGTTGCTTGAAATGGTTTTGGATCATGTCTTTTGTAACGCCTTATCCATCGTTGCCGGTTAGTGACAATGATTTCCTTTTTCATAGAACCTAAATATTCCGAACGAGGGACAACGAGAAGATCACCATCATCAAACCTTAGAAAAAGGAAGTAGCCGCATAAACCAATTCCTTCAATTGAAAACAATTTTTTATTGATTTCATGATCCTATATTCACCGACCAACGCCAATATGCGAATTTTATACTTAATTCCTTTATCGTAGGAGTATAAATATCGATGATATCGGGCATCATGGAGAGTCGCAAAACCCTTCACGGAGATAACATGTTCGTCATAGATAAAGTCAAATAAATGATACACTACAACGAACCGGGAATAAACCATCTCCATTATCTGAAAAACATCTCCTGCTAAATCATCAAAAGAACCATTTTTAACCGAATCCATGTGCATTTGATCTGCCGCTAACGTTGCATGAAATGAAAACAGACCCGAGATACGTAGAACCTGATCCATGAACAACGTAACTACAAACCATGCCACAACCATGGCCATCGAAAGAGTAAAGGAAATGTGCGTTGTAGTAACCGCCACAAAAACTTCGAATCAATCACCATAACCATCTTATTGTTTGTTGACGCCTGACAATACATCACTAGAAACAAGCGTAATTCACTTTAACGATGGAGAAAGAGCATTAGAGGAGAAATGGCACGATCGCCTTGCCTATTACTAGAGAGACGGTTCCTTATGAAAAATACTTGTCAGACCGCCGTGCGACCACCAGCAAGAAAGTCACTTATTTAGTATTAATTATTTTTTTATAATTTAAGTAATGAAATGTATGTTACAACGATCAAATTCCATCATTGTATAGACGTATGTTTGTTGTTTGTTGTTTGTTGTGTACGCAGCTTCTTTTGACTTTTACAACACTCTCTCTTGGAGACCAATGTCACTATACCTCTTGCGTAATTATCTTCTATTGCCTCATTAGAAACATTTTTAGGAAAATTCGATGGAAAAAAAGCATAGAAGATAAAAAGACTACAACCATGCATGTTCCCCTTCGAATGATTATGATCATATCTTACATGTCTTGATGACGACGCATTCCAATGTTATGGACATGTGTCCTAAACATAATAGTTGTGTAAAGAATTCGTGAAGAGATCTGCATAATTCTCGGATGATTGAACATATCTTACTTCAGATGAATAAGAAATTGCATAAAAAAAATGTGAGTATGAAAAAGGATTGAGAGATCTTCTCTGTAACACAAATTTGTTGGATTCTTTTCCCTTAAGCAAGTAGATATAGCTAGTAAACGAAAACATACTAGTGACTAGAAGTGAACGATTATGACTTCGGTGATAAACGGTGATGAGAACGAGATCGGACGAGTAAGAAACGCCGATGGAGGCTTCTAGTGTCTCTCATTCGTGACTGATGCACACCAAAAAGCTAAGTTAAAACAAGTATTTATAGGCTTCATGGTGCAAGTAGTCGGTGCAAGTATTTATAGGCATCATGGTGCAACAAAAGAATGAAACAAAGATTTGAATTCTTACATTGAAAATAAAAAGGTTAGGATAGAAGCTGCAAATGAGATGATGCAAATGAGTTTTGCATCTCTATAAACAGATAAATGATATTTAGTTACATGTTTCTACTGGTGTAATATTTTTTTTTTTTAGTTCCTAATTTGCTATTCAATCTGCTATCGGTCTGCTTTTAATCATCTTCAAAATTATTGTTTCTAGAACTGCTTATTTGTTATTATTGTTTGGTGGACATGAATATGATAGTCTACTCTAAATTGGGAAATACCCATAAAGCATAAAGTTAAACGAATTCACTATTTGCTAAATGTCAATGTTCAAGAAAGCGTTAGACGTTAAGCGGGCGGTGACCTAGTGCCTAGCGCTTAGAACGCTTAATCGGAACCTAGGCGATTTTTAAGCGGTTTAGACGTTTATAACATAAAACATTATAAATATGATATCATATATAAAAGTTATATAAAATATCTATATAAAACTAAAAAATATAAAATTATAAAAAAAAACTAGATAAAAATATATTGTATTTATATTAAACAATATACGAATATTTATAAATATATATATATATATATATATATATATATAGAAATAAAACTTAATTGAAATTAAAAAAAATACACTAAACAAGATCTATGTAATTTTAGACAGTTAAAACGGTCATCTAAGCATCGCATGAGAAGCTAGCGCCTAGTCGGGGCCTAAACGACCGACCGCCTACACCGTTTTTTAGAACAGTGCTAAATGTTGATGTTGAGCCAAGAAAAGATTGGGAAAAATAAATACATCCGATGCACCACTCATAACACGACATCTCATCAAAAGTACACGTGTTAAAATATCATTCGTTATCTGTACGTACAACTGCGTGTCAACATAAACTGAGGAAATTAATTAACTTACTCTACACGAAGACGCCTCTCATAAGCACGACGAAGAACCAAATCGGAAAATTAACCAATTACTGTCTCCGGCGAGATCTCAATTTGATCCTTCACGGTGGCGTCGACGTCCGGGCAACAACAAGCTCTCTCGAGAAGAAAGCCATTATCATCATCATCATCATCTCCTCCTTCGTCTTCACCTGTTCGAGCTCCTGCGGCGAAGAAACCGAGTCCGGAGTTTCCCTTTTGGCAGCAGAACTGGTTTATCGGTCTGCTCTTCGTGATGGCTTTAGGATTCTTCTGTCTCGCTATCTTCCTTTACCTAAGTCTCGATCCTGATTCCGGTTACACAACTGCCTCCGCCGCTGCTTCTGGTAAAGAAGGTGTCGAGGTGGTTTTTTGAAATCCCTAATCTGTTGATTTGGTTTTGATTTCCCATAGATTTGGACGATTGTGTGAATGATGTTCTGATATTGACAGATTACTTATGGAAGTGCGATTAAGCTGATGCATGAGAAAACTAAATTTCGATTGCATTCTCACGATGTGCCGTATGGATCCGGTAGTGGTCAGCAATCAGTTACTGGTTTTCCAGGCGTCGTTGATTCCAACAGCTATTGGGTATGCATCATCTCATACTTTGAATATTCTAGCTATGGTGTGGTAACTTGTTTTATCAAGTGTTTTAGTGAGGTATGGTGGAGTGATTGAGCAATTGTTTTGTTTTGATAGATTGTTAAACCTGTGCCTGGGAAAACAGAAAAGCAAGGTGATGCTGTCAAGAGTGGAGCAACCATTAGGTTGCAGCATATGAAGACCAGAAAATGGCTTCACAGTCACTTGCATGCATCCCCTATATCAGGGAACTTAGAGGTTAGTATTGTTTTCCGTTTTATGTATTCCCTGATCCGCTAAGATTGGATGCAAAAGATCCGAACGAGAGATAGATCTAGGAAATCAATATAGAGAGCTAGTGGTAAGAGGATATTTACTAGCGGATCTATGTGAATTGTGAAGTGCTTTGCCGGTTTCAATTGGTAGTTGCATTTTCCTTATTGCTATCGAGTTAACCCATTTTCTTGATGCAGGTTAGCTGCTTCGGAGATGATACAAATTCCGATACCGGGGATCATTGGAAGTAAATATCCCTTAAAATCAATTTGTATTCTCATCTAATGTTTAGTCTATCCACATCCACCTGAGAACTCATGCTACTTTCCATTTGCGCATAGGCTTATAATCGAAGGAAGTGGGAAGACATGGAAACAGGACCAAAGAGTCCGTCTTCAACACATAGACACTAGTGGCTACCTCCATAGCCATGACAAGAAGTACCAACGTATAGCTGGTGGTCAGCAAGAGGTAACTAAATATCATTATTTCTCATCTAAGCCTGATCTTTAAAGATTATTCCAATGTGTTGAAACTCATGCTGAGATAGATATACAACAAGATTTAATGCATCAGATTCTGTTTTTTGGGTACACAGGTGTGTGGAATTCGGGAGAAGAAGGCGGATAACATTTGGTTGGCAGCAGAAGGAGTGTACCTTCCCCTTAATGAGAGCAGCAAGTAAGGTGAAGAGTGTGATAACTTCTCTGGAGGACTTTGTATCTCATCTTTTACTCTCTAAACTCATCATAAACAAGAAAATAGAGATATATATTTGCTAATTTTCGATTGAGAATACTTTTAGTCGCACGAATATATATTGTTTTGGTAGAATATTCTGCATTTATCTCTTTTTTTTGGTCACCCTGATAGTAAATCCAACAAAATCCTTTAAACATATCGTTTTGTCTAAGAACCATCAATATGACATTTGAGACATAAGTACTCTGTAGCTGGTGGGATATGATCTATATCCCTTGGAAAATCAGTCGCCAGCGAGTTTTTCCACGTTCAAGACTTGTTCCTCGCGATCTTCAAGATATCGTGTGGTTCTCGATCTAAATATTTGAATACTTCATTGTTCCCAGCTTTCATATAAATCAAATAATCCAAAGAAAGCTCAACTCTCATTATGAATTCACGGCAAAAACATTTTAGTGCTTCTGATGGAATTTGTCGAAGAACCCATGTTTGAACTTTAAAACGTTAGACAAAACTAGAATAAAATATGAATCAAGATCTCCTTCTCACATGCACCCACACCATGGAGAGATCATTATGGGAGCGAAGAGTCTAAATGAAGCTTATCTCCATTGCATTT